GGTCCTACGGATGCGATGGTGGATATCCTGATTCAGCCTGGTCTTGGGTGCACGATGAAGGGATCGCAACTGGTGAGGGCAGCCGACCGAAAGGAATCTCGGGATCCGATGCGAGTTTGCTACGACTCATCCTCGACTATTCAATAGTCACCCTTGTCTAAAGAATGAAGACAGGGGAGACCTACACTGTAGACGCTGGGAAATGTGATGATAATCCCGGCAGGGGTCGCTCAGCGGCCAGTGAGGACGACAGCGACCGTCGCTGTCGTTCTCAACAATGAGCCAGCGACGATGACTCCTGTTGTAGCATCGTCTGGGATGACTTGTCCCAGTACAGTGGGCTAATTTATGGAAACTGAATCTCCGATATTCACATATGCTGCACAATCCTAGAGTATAGTAGAGCATTTCTTTCGTTGCTCAGGTGGAGATTACGTTGCAAGAGGTAATTTGACTAAAGGCGATGGGTGCTGGCCGTACGATTTCCCGCCATGCGCTCATCATATCAATGACACCAAGTACCCCAAATGCCCTAAGGTAAGCTGTGGCGGCAAGTTGGCCCCGGCGATCGCTGAGGCACTAACTGTCATTGCCTATCAGGGCTCATACGAGACTCCCAACTGTGTTGAACAATGCCACAACCCGAAGTATACAACAAGTTTGAAAAAGTAAAGGAAGGCTAAGCTAAGTCAAATGAATCGAGGTTATCATTCTCAGTGATCGTCATTACATGCTGGAATCCTCTCCGTATCAATACTCTGTGAACAATGCCAAAAATGCTATCAGAACTGATGGCCCAGTAGGACCGATCCACTCGTGTGATCCAAACGTTAACTTCGATCAGATTTCGGCTTCGTACCTTGTTTACGAAGATTTCCTAGCCTACAAGTCCGGTGTATACAAGCATACTTCTGGTTCATACCTCGGTGGACATGCTGTGAAGATAATTGGTTGGGGTGAGGAGAATGGAGAAGCTTACTGGCTTGTCGTGAACTCCTGGAATGAAGACTGGGGTGACCAGGGCCTTTTCAAGATAGCCCTTGGAAACTGTGAAATAGATGACGACCTGCTTGGTGGTACACCTAAAGTTTGAGTGGATCTCCTCCATTGTAGATGTGAACTGGATGAAACACATCTCATTCAAATCAGGACGATTTTCTTCCGTCCATAGTCATTTTTCTCTTTGGCAGCATGAAGGCTTATATTCGTTTCGTATTTGTTGGATGTGAATGAACAGCTGATTGTTGGAACTTTTCAACAGAAGTCATCTGGACTTCTTCAAAAAATGGCAAGTCGCATATTTAGTCCTTTCCGATTCTCCCGACCCATGCTTATCGAGTTACTAGTATCGTACGGGATGTGGTTGAGTATGTGACGAACCCCCCCATGCTTCGCTTTGTGCTCCTCCTTATTCCGACTCTTCAGATCTCTTGAGATAATAATCCCCTTAATCACTTCTCTAATATAGGTATCATACCTGGTATGGAAATGCGCCACTAGCGTAGAGCTGCCCTTACGATACTTTAGCGCACGCCATATTCACGCAACCCCACGTGCGTTCGAACATTTCAAGACCAAGCTCTGGTCATTTCGAGAATTTCGGTTTCAACCATACTTGAAAGGGTACCCATTAGCGTAGAGCTCTATGTGTACATGGATAATCAGCCAATTTCCACGGCTCGTTTGAATTTGACTTTTTCATTTGCAGCCCTATCCAGTAGGCAGGTTGCATCTGCGTGATTGCGTAAAAGGTTTTGGTGCGCTCTTTCCAGGGGTCCTCACCCCTGGCGCGCGGTGATGCCATCATGGCATATGTTGAAGCTTTGGGAAGCACAGGTGCCCAACACCCAGGGTGTTGTGTTCCACAAGTGGTAGTAGCCCTCCTACATCGGTCTGTACATCATGACGAGTGACGATAAACATGCAGAAGCCCAGAGTACAACATCTACTGATGTGACGACATCTCATTCGACGACACGACATACTGCTGTTCCAAAACCTTACACTGGTGAGAAAAGTTTCCGTGAGTGGTAATTGAGGTCTCGATATTACCGATTTGGTGGCCGATCCTTGGCCAATTCACGTTTTTGGTCGAGATCCAACTCTGACTTGATTTTACCGCTTATTATTCAACAGGATTGCGTTTAAGGGCAAAGGAGAGCAAACTTGATGTGTATTCATTGCCAGTTTGATAAGGGATGAGTAACTGAGGGTAAAACTGCAAGAGTGTTGGCTAGTAGCCAATGGCTACTCGTTGGGGCGAGTACACACACTTGTCTTCGTCGTGATGACCGTCATGCGAAGTTACTACCTGCCTATGAATCCGGCTTTGAGGTGGTTCGATTAGTATCTCCTACGATGGTGCAACTAAAGCGGAGAGATAGATCGTCGAAAGTGCTGAATGTTCACACCTCCTTGGTGGTTCCTGAGGTAGCTAATTTGAGTATATAGCCCATCAGGAGGAGGGAATGTGAGGGAATGATATAGGATTGTGCGCTGTGAAACCCGAACAATTTGTGTGCTGTGTCGTGACGACAAGATATCGATAAGCTGAAGCTAAGCTGAGTAGCGATTCCTTATTCCCAATAATTGTATTCATACTTGTTTTTACTCCTTTACTCCTTTGCTGTCACTTTTTCGATAACGCCTAATTTGCGTCATGGGGATGGTGATGCGCAGATGCAAAAAGCGCACAACATCGGGATCGATATAGTGACATGATAAGAGTCTATAGCCATTCAGTCTTATGGCGTGCGCTCCCTGTAGCGTAAAGCTCGCTCTCGCCCGACCGTTTCAAATATTGTCCGTTCAAACCATTGTTCGGATCCCGTGGATCTATCTGATCTGTCTGCACTCAATCTCCACTAACTATTGAATCCTTATGTCCGGTTCTGCATCGAGTTCTAGTCCTCCGGAAGCCTTCGACCAGCACTTCCTTAACAACTTGGGGGCTGCATGCCGAGAATCCATATCCAAGAACGAGAGACTGCTGTCCAAGTGCTTCCAGGACATTGAAGCTGGTTCTACCGTCGACGTTCAGATCATTCTGAGAAACACCTCTGATGCCCTTACGCCTGTGAAAGCAATGTCCGTACCCGGCCCTATAACGGCCCCGGCGTCGGAATCGGCTACAGGCTCGGGGTCCTCAAGCTTGCCCGCTGGAAGCGAACACGCGAGCTCTGATCAATCAGATGGCGTCTCAGTAGCCCCGGTGGTTGTTGTAACGACTTCATTGACTTCGGTCTTCGA